CATGCACTGGAAACAAGTCTGACTTACTGCCGGCAATGCGAACCAAGCTCCTGCTCTGGTCGGACAGGGACCGGACGGCCCTTAGCAAAGGGCCCCGAACCCCGTACTCCCGGAGCACCCCCCACAGGGCGCTGCGAGGGACACGGTCGAATGCTTTCTCCAGATCCACGAAACACATGTGGACAGGTTGGGCAAACTCCCATGAACCCTCCGCCACCCTGAAGAGGGTATAGAGCTGGTCCAGTGTTCCACGGCCTGGACGAAAACCGCATTGTTTCTCCTGAATCCGAGGTTCGACTATTGGTCAAATTCTCCTCTCCATTACCCTGGCATAGACTTTCTCGGGGAGGCTGAGGAGTGTGATCCCCCTGGTGCAAAGTGGATTGGGCAGCAGTCGAAGGCAGGGGCCCCGACGACCTGATCTCTGGACACGGAGACTAGCCCTGGAGACATGGAATGTCACCTCGCTGCTATACAAATAAAGTTATTATTATTATTATTATGTTGCAGAGCAGGACTGTCACAGACTGTCTGCACCCTGTGGAAACTACATATCAGGTCCTGTACTGACAGTGTTCAGCTCCTCTGATCAACTTCACCATCAGCCACACTTTTATTCTAACAGAATAAACTTTCATAGTGCAAAGACCAACTAATAAAATCGCAATCACTGCAATTATACAAGAAATGATGCATTTCTATAAAACATCAAGTTGTTGCTCCAACTTCTCAACCAATCAACTCTCAGATCAGGTCAGTGTCAGGCGTTTCCCATCATGCCCTGTGCTCCTGTGGTCAGTGGAGTGCAACTGCGGTGCCTGGCTCCAAAAACTGCAGCTGCCTTGATGCCGTGACAACATTGTTGACCACGTGAGTCTTACATCAGAAGAAGAATGGGATCGAGTGATCGAGTCAGGCATAAAACTAACCTGCACGCATCCTGCGCCGATCTCCGGTGATCAATTCTGCACAGATCTGGGTCATCTCAAATGCATCTAATGCTTTACCTGTCTGTAGCTAGACATGGTAGGTAAGCCCGTACTCACCTGGCCACTGATCATCTCCAATCCGATGGCGTCAACCTTTGCACTACTGATTCCCAGAAACACACCCTCTGATTGGCTTGTTCGAAACTCCAAAGACACAGACACGTCAGAGCCAACCTTATACCCATCATGCACTGCAATAACAGACACACACAAGTTAACACCTGGTCATATACAATTCATTTAAAGTTTTTTGCTATCATTCATGGTGAACTCACTGAGGACGGCATATCCACTGCCATTAAAGTAACTTCCTGTCTGGTCTTTAGTGAAACAGGAAGTGACATCATGCTGCGAGTATGGCTGGGACAGGTCCAACATGGCCCCATTCAAACTGACAAACTGAACACAACCTGGAAAACTGCTGCTCACCTGAGAGACAGACAGGTGACACAGGTTCATTAAGGTTTAATGACATCACATGTTTGAAACGAGACTCGGGTGAGGTGATGGCATCATGATAACAGGTGAAATTTTAAAATGTTATTGTATGAAACCTGTTTAGATAATTAAATCCTCAGTATTTGTAAACAAAAAATTAAGGATGTAAAAGGTCATACATTGATCCTCCTGGCAGTGTAGGTGTGTGGAAGTCCTCCCAGGTAAAGTCTGCTGTCCACATCCAGCTGGTTTCCTTTAATTGTCACAGAGTCAGGACTCAAAGCATTGACCGACACGGACATCGACCGCCGACTAACCTTTGCACTCACCTGAGGAAGACAGACAGGTAAAATATGAGTCAGTAGTGGAAACAGAAATCATAGTGTGGGTGGGCCTCTTCCACTGGTCACATAGTGATTATTGACAGCATTTCATTGTATAAGCAGCTTTTTTCTCCCCTAACTCTTGTGATTGTTTGGGCCCGGGTAGGCCCTAGCCCTAACTTAATGTTAAATTATAACAGTAAATAACATAGCTGGAACTAATGCTGCAGCCAGTTTAGCTAATGTTAATCTAATCTGGATATAATGATGAAAATCAGGTATCAAGTTATTGACTGGGATATAATAAGCTCAAAATTACTTACAAAGTGATGAAACATAAGACATCTTTCTTGCTTAGAGCACTGAAAGATTAAGTTACAGTTTTGCATGTGTTTTTTGTGTAAAATATTAACTCACGGTGTGCCAGTCTCCATCATTAATAGTGACAGAGGAGGTGATGGAGGCTGGGCCTTTCCCCAGGTTAGCTGACATCATCATTCTCCCCCCGAACAGTCTCAGGGAGATGAAGTCCATCTGTCTGGAGTCGGAGAGGAGGAAGATCAAACCATCCAGAGCCCGGCTTCGAACTGACAACCTCACCAACACACTGACGACAAAGACAATAAAACCAGAATGGAGATACAAGAGAGGAGAGGCAGAGATATAGTCCTATTTTACACAGAGAACAACTGGAGTCATGCCCCTCTGACTGAAGCCCCGCCCACTAGTAACAGGAGCCCTGTCCCTCATTGCCAAGGTGTCTCACCTTTTTCTGACAGTCTTGGGGTTGATGATGAAGGTCATGTGACTGTGTCTGGACAAACCAAACTGAGCCGCTGATGGCAGGAAAGTGGGCTCTGCCTCCGACACACACTACATAACAATCAATAACCAATAAGCAGTAACCACTAATCAGTTAAAAATAATCAAGTCAGTGGACAAACAACAATAAACAATAATCCATATCTGATAGTAGGTTAACCAGTAACTAATAATCAGTGACTAACAATCACCTACCAATGAATAATCAATGAACCGTAACTAATAACACTGACCAGGAATTAGTAGTGCTGACCAATACTAAAACATAATATGACTCTTCATAAATTAATACACTGACCAGGAATCCAGATACTGATATTCAATAATACTCAATACATTTTAAACTAATTTGTTACTGTTATCAATAATCAATAATTAAGGAATTGAATGATTTCTATGATCCATAATAATTACCACATTGATTATGTTACTAATAATCAATAATTGTGACACTGACTACTGTTATAACTAATAATAAAAAAATTCAGTACTCTGTCATAGATGTATTGATTAGCATCATCATTAATCAATAATAGACTGATTAATGTTACATTAATAAAAGCATTCATTACTATGATCAATAACCAATAATATTGGTAATCATTTTCAAAAATTGATAAGAAGGCATTGATTACAGGTGTCAGCAACAGTTAATGCACACACTGCTATACAGTGCCTTGCGAAAGTATTTAGCCCCCTTGAACTTTGCGACCTTTTGCCACATTTCAGGCTTCAAACATAAAGATATAAAACTGTAATTTTTTGTGAAGAATCAACAACAAGTGGGACACAATCATGAAGTGGAACGAAATTTATTGGATATTTCAAACGTTTTTAACAAATAAAAAAACTGAAAAATTGGGCGTGCAAAATTATTCAACCCCCTTAAGTTAATACGTTGTAGCGCCACCTTTTGCTGCGATTACAGCTGTAAGTCACTTGGGGTATGTCTCTATCAGTTTTGCACATCGAGAGACTGAAATTTTTGCCCATTCCGCCTTGCAAAACAGCTCGAGCTCAGTGAGGTTGGATGGAGAGCGTTTGTGAACAGCAGTTGTCAGTTCTTTCCACAGATTCTCGATTGGATTCAGGTCTGGACTTTGACTTGGCCATTCTAACACCTAGATATGTTTATTTGTGAACCATTCCATTGTAGATTTTGCTTTATGTTTTGGATCATTGTCTTGTTGGAAGACAAATCTCCATCCCAGTCTCAGGTCTTTTGCAGACTCCATCAGGTTTCCTTCCAGAATGGTCCTGTATTTGGCTCCATCCATCTTCCCATCAATTTTAACCATCTTCCCTGTCCCTGCTGAAGAAAAGCAGGCCCAAAACATGATGCTGCCACCACCATGTTTGACAATGGGGATGGTGTGTTCAGGGTGATGAGCTGTGTTGCTTTTACGCCAAACATAACGTTTTGCATTGTTGCCAAAAAGTTCGATTTTGGTTTCATCTGACCAGAGCACCTTCTTCCACATGTTTGGTGTGTCTCCCAGGTGGCTTGTGGCAAACTTTAAACGACACTTTTTATGGATATCTTTAAGAAATGGCTTTCTTCTTGCCACTCTTCCATAAAGGCCAGATTTGTGCAGTATACGACTGATTGTTGTCCTATGGACAGAGTCTCCCACCTCAGCTGTAGATCTCTGCAGTTCATCCAGAGTGATCATGGGCCTCTTGGCTGCATCTCTGATCAGTCTTCTCCTTGTATGAGCTGAAAGTTTAGAGGGACGGCCAGGTCTTGGTAGATTTGCAGTGGTCTGATACTCCTTCCATTTCAATATTATCGCTTGCACAGTGCTCCTTGGGATGTTTAAAGCTTGGGAAATCTTTTTGTATCCAAATCCGGCTTTAAACTTCTCCACAACAGTATCTCGGACCTGCCTGGTGTGTTCCTTGTTCTTCATGATGCTCTCTGCGCTTTAAACAGACCTCTGAGACTATCACAGTGCAGGTGCATTTATACGGAGACTTGATTACACACAGGTGGATTCTATTTATCATCATTAGTCATTTAGGTCAACATTGGATCATTCAGAGATCCTCACTGAACTTCTGGAGAGAGTTTGCTGCACTGAAAGTAAAGGGGCTGAATAATTTTGCACGCCCAATTATTCAGTTTTTTATTTGTTAAAAAAGTTTGAAATATCCAATAAATTTCGTTCCACTTCATGATTGTGTCCCACTTGTTGTTGATTCTTCACAAAAAATTACAGTTTTATATCTTTATGTTTGAAGCCTGAAATGTGGCAAAAGGTTGCAAAGTTCAAGGGGGCCGAATACTTTCGCAAGGCACTGTATATAATCAATAATAAACATATTAATTACCGTTAGGGCTCCAGGTGTGTGTGCACTCAGGTGTGTGGGCCGGGTTAGAAACAGGTGCACAGGGTCTGAAGTTGGTTCTATATCTTGGTCATCTGGAAGCACCACCCCCCCAGCCCTCTCCTCCAATAGGCAGCTGCTGAGCTCCACTCCCTCATACCGCACAGCTCCTGATAGGTCAATGAGCCTGAAAGCATGCCTCCAATCAAAACACAATCGGAGAGACAGAGAGCTCTGTGTGCCTGTGTGTGTGTGTGTGTGTCTTACACTCCGCCCACCACCAGGTGTTGGATGCAGCCTCTGAACAACCTGGATAAATGCTGTAATCTGAGTGGCAGATGGGACTCCTCCTCTGAGGGCAGCCCACCAATGAATAGTGAGGCTGGAGAGAGATGAGAAAATCCGACCGGCAACAGAGAGGTGGACTTCAGGTGTTCCTCATCCACCTGTATGGACAGAGATCTGAGACAGGCAGGTAATGTACAATATTTACTGAACAGGTGAGACAGGGGTGTGTTTCCATGGTAACACCTACTTCCTGTTGATAGAGATAATCACAGAGTGTTTCTCTCCATCACTGAAAGATCCTCCACCACGTTTCATCACCATCAGCCACCGAGAGGCCCCACCCACCTCACCGAGCCCCGCCTCCAACACACCTGAGACCAGGTGAACAGACAGGAAGTGCTGCAAACACACACACAGGATACAGTTATACAGCTTCTTTACATGTATGTGAATAACACCTGGTGTACACTGGTTATGTGATCTCACCTGTCTGTCTGAGCGCTTGTTGCTGAAGGCAGCCAGCAGGACTCCTGACTGGTTCTTGGAGGAGAAGGAGAAGAGAAGCTCCACCTCCTGATCGAGTGAAGGAGGAGCGATCTGAATGAAGCCTCCACCCAGCACCGACACACTCCTCACTGCCTGAGACATGATCAATCAGAGTCATTGAGGAATTACTGATAATTGCACAGTCAACAAGTATAACAAAGGTTATTGATTACAGATTTTCAGAGACTGGACTGAGTCTGTACAACTTATCAATATGATAGATCACGGTTGATCCAAAAGCAGCAGACATTAGCTCAGTTGACAGGATTACTCAGTTTTATTTATATATAGTCCTCACATGAATAATGTTATATTGATTATTAATAGTATAACTGTTATTGTATAATATAATGTTATTGATGAATAAACTTGAGTGCCAACTCAACCGATGGCTCTAACCATCGGGGGCAACGGTGGGGGGGTTCAGTGTCTTGCCCAAGGACACTTCAACACATGGACTACAAGCACTGAGATTCAAACCTCCAACCTTCTGGTTGGGAGACGACTGCTCTACCCACTGCACCACTGTTGCCTCCTCCTTCACCATTATTTGATGTTTCCTTCTTTATGAGTAGCACTGTGTAAGTTTAGCTTTTGTTTTGAGACAATTTACTACAATCTACATTATTTATACTGTGTAAATAATAATGTCATAATGTAAAAATGTGTTTTAATCTTCTGATTCTATATTTTGTTTTCTTGTATAAAATACACTTTTTAAACTTTTGTTGAAATTTGTATTTTATATTGTTGTACTATGTAATTGTGTCATATGTTATTTTAAATTTGCTGATCTTATGAATGAATGAAACTTTTTAAAAGATTAACAACCGTGCAGATCCAGGGGGTATCTTGGTCCCCAACTGGCTCTTTTTCCCTGTACATACAACTCAGGCCACTGAGAGTTACTGATCCCAGCCAAAGGCCCTTCGGCTGCCAGCTGGTTCTCAGCCAGTTACTGCTGCATGTGAAGAGTGTGTGTGTGTATACTGTTTATACAGCATATGTATAAGTAGTACCTCAAGTACACAACCTTTCCTAACTCCGTATGCATCTCTCAGCAGGTCAAAATTAGACCGAGCGATCTCCACATTCTTTATGCAGCCGACATATGACCTGGACACCACCGGTCGCCTAGCAACCACACAGACAATCAGGTGAGTTGAAATACACACATCTTATGATATCCCAGTACATAGCTTCCCTGTGGAGATTAATAAAGCAGTCTATGTGTACATCCCAAGTCTCTTATATGATTGTTCCTACATCCTCAGAACAACTTCCGGGTCGACCAAGGACATTCCAGGCTTCTTATATCGGCTCTGAGGAGCTAGGGTACACATGCCCCTTTATCAGAAACTAGTTGGTGACTGGACGCTTCAGATGAGGGATCTGAGAAAAAGACATCTCATGTCATTAATAACATGTTTCCTCAAGTCCTCTCTCTTTGTGTTTTCCTTGCATCTTATGTAGGAGGGACTAAAATGCAAGGAAAAGATGCAAGTAAGGGAAATGATGATGCTTATAAGAGACTTGGGGTGTAGCCTATCTATCCCTTCATCCCAACATGATACCTTCAAAGCCTCACCTGATTGGTTTGGAGGCAGGAAGTCCTCCGATATAGATAGGATCGAGATCGGACCGGTTGAGATCCGAGGCTTTACCAGGAGACTCTGCCTCCAAAACCTCCTTCTCTGATGGTTGGTTGGCTGCCATGATGGACAGGTAACCTGGACACAAAAGGCTGAACTCTGTCATATGGTCGAATAGCTTCAGAAAACCCCACCACCAGATCAAAGGCATTTTCTGAAACACTCTGACATCACAGCCACCTCACTCAGTGATTGGGCAGCTGTGTGCAGGTGAGAAAGTAGGCAGGGCTTTAACTGAGCTTGACAACATCGACAACATGTAAGAATTTACCTCTATATTTAAACTACATCCTGTCTCCAGTCTCTCTGTGAGGCCCAACCTTTACCTCCACTTTTGTATGGATGTTCACAACAGAGGCAGCAGGTATCAGTTGAAGTCTTAGCACTATGAACACATACGAGCCAAAAGCCTGCAGTTAAACTCTCAGCACCTTCTGGTGGAAAACTAGTCACTGACACCTGACAACACCTGATATCAGTGAGGTTAGCCCTGCCTTCACACACCTGATAATGTGACAGTAAATACACAACACCGAACTACAAGAGTGCAGTACAGCTACAGTAGAACTACAATAAATATATTTAAAAGAAACACTGAGGATATTGAGAAACACCTGTACTGTCCTTAATCTTAACCCACCTGTTATGTTCCTGGGTTAACTTTACCATTACTAACCATTTCAGTCATCATTTAGTGCAATGGTGTTCTTTACCTCTCATAGATTATGGTTCAGTGAGGATAATGCACTTGTTTTTTATAAAAGAAAATGCATGTTAAAACTTTTTGTAATGTACATTGGAAAGATTTAAATATAAAATACATTAATTTTACATTTCACATTGATTTTTTTTTTATTTTATTTGACATTTTGAAATCTTTTCTTTTTATGAATTGATGTTGATAAATTAACATGAGACACCTCTTCTGTTCTGTATCTTTGTAATATAAACATGTAGGGGGAGGTTGCAAATATGTGAAATGAACCATTTTCATTTTATATGTTGATTACACCTATTAAGCAAAGCAGAAGAAGTTTCATACCAATAAAATACTTTTAACTATTGTTTTTAGATGTTTAAACTTTACAATAATATATCAGGAGGGTTAACTTTACAGTACAGCATTAGTACAGTACTTCTAATCATAGTTCAGTAATGGTAAAACAGCCCATTAGTCATGCTGCTACAGTAGTTACTGTAACAGTAATGTAGAAGTAATCTATGAGCAGCAGTAGTATTAGTGCTGCAGCTTTCAGCAGTGATGTGAATAGTAGTCAATAGTAGTCATACTGGGGCAGTAGTAATACTGAAGTGGTACTACATGAGCAGCAGTGGGATTTTATTTTCTGAGCTTCAGTGGTGGTAGTAGTACATCACCAGGAGTATTTCAACACTTTATCAATCAGAGTATCTGTACTGTAGAATTGCAGTATGTTAACAGTAGTAGTACTTGTAGAAGTACCTTTGCGCTTGTTCCTCTGTAGTGTGATCTTGTACCACATGCCAGTGTTGTACTTCCTGTTAGAGGTCAGAATCAGAGTACCTGAGCCAAGGTCAAAGGTTAGATGGACATGACCCTCCACCAGCTCCATGGATAGGAAGTCTCGCTGTAGGAGACAGGAAATGAAGTTGTGTGCGTCTCCTTCACAATAAGAGCCTTAATAAAAAGTGCATGACGTACAGTGTTGTTGGAGGCCAGATAGAGCAGTAATCCGCCCGGTGACAGTGTTTTAAACAGCAAAACGACAGAGGTAGTGGTCACCCTCAAAGACTTCTGAACCAGTGAGAATCCAGATCCATCAAAGTGGAAGGACGTCCCTTCAGCCTGGGGACTAAGAGACAGGCAGATAGAGAGGCAGGCAGGTAGAGGCACAGAAGTTAGGGTTTAGACTGCTGAAGTCTCAAAGATGCAAATCAGAACTTCCATTGGAAATTTGCAAATTTAGCTGAGCACAGCTGAACTATATGGTACGACTACACTGCTCACATGTATAGCAGAACAGCTGTGGTGATACAAGCGCTTTGTCATTCATCTTCACTACCCTAGTGTGTGGTGGTACACCTGTCTTAGTACCTGCTGAAGCAGCCCCCACACTCTCCCTCTCTGCTGTCATAGTTCCACAGTCCAATGTTTCTCTCATTGAGTGTTGCTTCACTCAGACAGCCCTGGAAGGTGGAAGACCTCAGTGCTGTGGGGCTCTGACATCACACATACATACACACAGTTACCACCTGTACACCTCCGCATACATCTGTACAGCTGACATGTGCATTACCTGTGTGTGAGCTGCCAGTCCTCCAATATGGATCACTGTGTTTTTGTCAATGTCCAAAACTCGGGATGATCCTGGGGATGTTGCTGTTACCATGGGCAATGGAGTCGACTCAGAGTCCAGCTGATGTACCGACAAAGATACATGGGCACCAAACCTGCCAACATCACATCATGACATCATCACATCCAACACAACCTTTGATGCCCATAATCCAGCTAATAATTAGTCTCTCCAGCTGTTTCTTCAGTCAGGTTATCAGTTCTGGTCAGGTGATCTTTATGTGATCAGAGAGTTGGTGTGAATTTACCGAGTAGCGTTGATTAGGGTCCATCTATTGTTGGTGATGTCCAACCCAGGAAACTCCAGTCTGCTGCTTCCTGAACCCACATCCCACACCAGAGAAATCTCCCCATCATGCATCTCTACGGCCAGGTAATCCACCTGAGTACATGGCAGATGTTAGCAAAGGGTTCATTTAGACTACAGAGATGTAGGACTGCAGTGACACTGAGTCCAAACAAACAACTACAGCGACACATGTGTCTACTTGTATGTGTATGTGTGTTGTCTGTGGTGTTGCACTGTGCGTTACATTGGGTTGTGTATTGTGTACCGGTACCGTAGTGTTGCTGCCCAGGTAGAAAAGCAGGTTTTCTCTACTCGACGTCTTCAGGATCAGGCTCAGAGTGTTGAAGTTGCTCGACTCAATCTGTGGTCTGTAGGATCGAATGCAGTCTCTGCCCGCTTGCACCGCCACCTTTATCTTATGACATCAACATTATTAATCAGTTTAGATTCTTATTTAATTCCTATTTCTTCAGCTACCATTAGTAGCGACTTTAACTGGATATTCACTGTTTCATCCATCCCCTCAAAATAAATGAGTATTTCTGAGTGGAGTTTTCTTTTTAGACACATGTAGGTCAGACTGATACGATCTGTTGGACAGATTGTGATGAAACAGTTCCTCTCACAATAAATAATAATTTTGATAAACTTATGACTTTTCATCTAGTGCCATCATCAAGTCAATTGATCCAAAACCTATTAAACTAAAACATCCCCATCAGCTTCAGCTGTACTGTGTTTACATGCTAACGTTAGACTAAGATGCTGAACATGGAAAAACATTAAACCTATTCACTGTCAGTGTTAACATTGTGTAAGCATTTAATCAGTATATATGTGTTTATGTACCGATGCGGCCTGTTGTCGGGCCTGATCGATCAGCTCTCGGATGTCAGACAGGTTCCTGCTAAGTGTTTCTCCCAGCATGCTCAGTGGCTTGATCTGCTCCAGAAGATGCTGTGTACGATGCTCCACCTCCTCCAGCTTACGCTGTGCCTCATTGGCTGAGCACACAGGAAAACAGAGTGTTATAACTCCATAAAACATTTTTCTGGTATTCTGGTTAATGAAACTGATTGTCTTAAAGAGCCCATGGCATGGGTTAGGTGTTAGGCTGTTGTTCACTTTCGATGCAACACCGGCAGCAGGAGGTGTGCACATTCATGAACTATCCTCTTATTTTTAGGAAGAGGCTCTCAGGATTTATCGTTCTGAAATAATTAATGAATGAATGAATTTAATGAACCTGCCAACCTGCAGAGTGCGTGTGAGTTGCCAGCTGGTTGGTCTTCCTCACTGTGTCATTGGTGCTCTCCAGCATAGAAGAAGAATTCTGCAGCTGATCTCTGAGTTTCTGCAGCTGCTGCAGAGCCACCTGCAGGTCGGAATGTGCTACTGCAGTTTGCAGCTGCGCCTGCTGAGCCTGCTGTAGAGGCACGAACGAACCTGATGAAGCAACGATCAATGCTTTAGTCAACACATCAAGGTATCACTATATCAACACACCAACATATCAATCAATACACCAATAAATGAATGCATCAACATATCAATACACCAGAGTTGGAAGAGGACGAGCCTGAATAGGCTGACCGTTAGACAGGTTCTGCAGCTCTCCGATTGGCTGACAGAGGAGGAGGCTGGTGTTACGAATGCTCTCTCTGACCAATCCCAGTCTACTGGTAACCATGGAAATGTTGAGCCGCAGGTCTGAGGAGACAGACACATTCCTTATGTCATCAGACACAGATTAATAGACAGGTAAACAGACATGTAATCAGCTAATCCTACAGACGTACACTTATTTTTATTTATAATCTTATTATACATTTTTACAGAGTTTGAGTCTGATTATTTTCTAATTCTTCTTAGGTTTCCCAATGTGGCCGTTTTGCTTGGTTCAACTTGACCCATCTGATCAAAGTGACCGCTGACAGAACCAAAAAGGCACCAGGATCAATCAAGCCTAGCTGTTAGCCTGTTCTGGAGCAGGCTAGCTGCACAGAATAAATCTCCATAGAAACTTAATTTAACTTGTTTTCATGCAACTTAGTCAGGTCTAAATTCATAACTGGAAAATCCTGGCTTAATCCCTTATCTTAGATTTGTGCAATGCTCCCCAGGTAATCAGACAGGTAAACAGACAGACAGATAGAGAGACAGACAGGCAAACACACCTTTGGCCGTCTTGTTGATTTGTCGACTTTTTTCAAAAGCAGCAGCGCTAATATTCGGTCTGACCCTGCCCTCCTCTGACACTGGCTGTTCTGTTTGAGCAGACTGAAGCACACACACATGACAACTTTAGACAGGTGTGTAAAAACAAAATGGCTGCTGACCCAGGGGGGTCCTTCGTATGTGGATTAGCAGCGTTAATAATAATCACCTTTATTTGGCCAAGTATGTTACACATAAGGAATTTGTTTCCAGTACAGACATCTGTGGCACCAATTTAGCCGATGGCTCTAACCAACTTCGGGGTTCAGTGTCTTGCCCAAGGACACTTCAACATGTGGGCTGCAAGCACCAAGATTCAAACCTTCAACTCTGTGGTTGGGAGACGACTACTCTACCCATTGAACCACAGTCGTTAACAAGTTAATCTAAAATCTGCTCGGGACCAGGTTAGTTCTCAGCCTTATTCAATGTAAACAAGATAACTTCACAGATTTAAAGGGTCTCGGAGCAGGAAGCAACTCGCTGACACCTGAGCCTTTATAATAAGCCATGAGTTTAAAAAAAACTGACTGGGTGATCGACAGAACCCTTTGGCCTGACCCAAATCATTTTAATCAAACAGTACCATTTCAGTCAAGAGGAAATAATTTACTGAGGTGGACTGTTGGCGACCCGTACTAAGTTACCACCACACAGCCAGTGTGCACTGACCTGAGGTTGTTATGTGGAAAATGTAACAAGCAGCACTGCTTTCTGAGCAATTTGAAAAGTGTACCTGGCTCTGAATCTGTTCCTGTGAGTTGACATAGTCTGCCTTCTTCCTATGCACCTTAAAAGCAAAGGGTTTAAAGCCAATTATTACAGTTTTTCTCAATACAGGCTACTGTCAATTCAAAAGGGATTCCCACCCCTACAGTTTGTGCATATTTTACTGCTGTAAATTTATATTGAACCTGAACAAACAGCACTTGGAACATGCAAAGAGTGAAGGCTTGGGAATCCTTTCTGACAAGACTGGAGCTATGTGGAATTCATAACAGAACTTGACATTTGAACAACTGCATGAACTAATGCGCACAAACTGTGCATGAGCTTCTACCTTCTAACTGAAGCTGTGTGAGACCATATATGCTATTTTCACCCTCACCACACCGGACGGTGACATCATCGAGTAAAGGTGCTGCACTGACCAGTCAGGTATAGGGGACAATCAGAACATGGACACCCATGAGAAGAAGACTCTTTTGTTTAACTTATTCATTCACTGCTACTCACTGTCAATCTGGGCCATAGTTAATACAGCATAACAACACACCATGCATTTTCGTTAGCACTGGGTGTTAAACTTTAATCTACCGATGCCGACACACTGGTGGTAGAATTGGTGCTAAGGTGCAGTCGGCTATGTTAGTGTAGTGTAGTTAGGGAACAGAGAACAGACATTAGCTGCATGACTAACCAAAACACGACAGAAAGTCATGGGCTGGAAACATGAATGAAGTCACTTGCGTTGACTTGACACAATCGTATACGCCTACATCACTCCCCCTGCAGCCCCTTGCCCCCTGACCAGCGCAGCCCCGTGCGTTAAAACACAGCAGGGGGTTGTGTTTTTGCCAGACTAATGTGAATGTACAGTCACACGCCATCGTACTGGCCTGATTCTCTTATGTACCGATATCACGAGACAGCTTTTGACTCAATGAGAAATATAGCTACATTTTAATATACCCCTAATGATCATACACCCATGCACAGGATTACTATTTAACATGTAAAATTGAGCCGTCATATCAAAGCAGTGTATATGCAGTTGTGGCCACATTAAGTATTTAAATGTGATACTTCTGCATTTAGTTAGTCAAACACTTCTCTCTGCATTCTGCTGAGTTCTGCTTTCGCAGTTACATGCAAATCAAATGCTTAAATTCCTCTTTGTCCACAAGAAGCTCTGCCTCTGCTGCGGTGTCAGGCTGTGCTCTCACCTGCATGCAGCCAATCAGAAACCAGCTGATCATGGTTTCAGCTGTGAATATATAGTCTAGTCACTGTCCAGTCACTAATCCAGCTTTTCTAATCCACAACACAGGTTTAAGAACTGAAATATCCAGATAACCTTAGTTGGCATTAGAAAATCCAAGACTGTTCATTTGATCTGGGATCTGTTTAGCGATGTACGAAGAACACCCCCCCGATGTCGTCTCTAAACTTGACCCCACTGTTTGTGCAAAATGTGATGCCATAGACAAAATGCTTTGTTGGCCCATCAAGAGCAGACAGGTAGATGCTGAAAAACAAAAACTTCAGGTGTGACTGTTACTCTTCAAACTGGGCTTCATGTCTCACATGACTGTGTAACACAGCTGTGCTTTCAATTTGAACACACATACCATGTTGAGAGCGAGGGAGGCGGAGACATGGGCAATCAAGGCCATCTGCTGGGCGGACTCAACTTGCTCTGTGATGTCAGAGTTGAGCTGAACCAACCCGCTGCTGGTCTGAGACACGTTCCACACTGACGGGAGTGAGCTGCAAGAGACAAGAGACTCATTTTATTTTTAATAATACTTTGCAGAAACACACACACACACACACACACACACACAGTTACCTGTGCAGGGAGTGGGCATGGCTCTGCAGCAGGTGGGCTTTGCTCTCTGCAAGGTAAACATTCTCCAGGGCGTCCGTCATCTTCAGTCCAACAACCAAAGCATCCACCCGTTTCCTCAGCAGAGGGTGCCATTGATCCAGCTGACTGCCCAGCACTTCCACCGGCTACCCCAACAGGTGAGGGAGTATCATTAGATAATCATTTATTATTGTTATTCCTTATCTTCAGTCTGTTGAGCGTCTCACCATGATGGTGTTTGTTAACTCCTCCATCACACCGACTGTGTCATCCAGCAGCAGCTGACTCTCCTCCATCAGTGAACCCACAGACTGACACACATCACTGAGGTTCTGACAGATGGACTGAAGGACAGATAGAGTTTTAAAAAGCCTTAACCTGATATGAAAATCAGACATTTTCTGTCAGTGAAAAAAACAATCCTGCAGCACCAACAAAACACACTCACTTAACTAATAGTAAGTCAAAAACTCAGAGCTAGTGAACCGTCTTCCCTCAGTCAACATACAAGCTGTCCAATCAGGCCACCTGGGTCACCTGTCCACTGGTGTGTGTGTTTTACCTGACCGCAGGCATGTGTGGGTCACCTGTCTGCTGGCGTGTGTGGGTCACCTATCCGCTGGTGTGTGTGTTTTACCTGACCCCAGGCGTGTGTGGGTCACCTGTCTGCTGGCATGTGGGTCGCCTGTCCGCTGGCATGTGTGTTTTACCTGTCCGCAGGCATGTGTGGGTCACCTGTCTGCAGGCGTGTGTGTTTTACGTGACCGCAGGCGAGTGTGGGTCGCCTGTCTGCTGGCGTGTGTGGGTCACCTGACCTGAGGCGTGTGTGTTTCATCTGACTGCTGGCGTATGTGTGTCACTTGCGTGGAAGTGTGTTTACCTGATACTGGTGCAGCAGAGTGTGAGCGGCGTCCAACAGTGTATGTGTTTGCACATTTTGTTGTGAAGTATCACTCAGGTGTTTTTGAGCATTTTTCAGCATTTCCATGCTGATGGTGATGGAGGTCGACAGGGGGCAGAGCCTGTTGTTAATTGTTGCCCTGCTCGACAGGAAGTCCACATGCAGCGAGTGCACGAAAGACTCTGACAGACTGAAGAGAAATCATTAACACCTAAGGAGTGGAACATTTATTTATGAATTAATACACATTTATTTATTAAACCTTTACCTGAGCTCCTGATTAGCTGTGGCCTTGGCGGCCATTAGATTGACAGCTCTGATGCTTTCCAAAATGGATGCCAGATGTGTCTGACTGGCTGAACTGAGCTCCTCCTCTGTGGTGTGATTCATATGCCCCACCTCCATTTCCAGCACTGCACCGATCAGATGTCAGAGTTGGTTCATGCTATAGCATTTTAATTACAAACTATTTCCTGCTGGTTATGACGTCACTATGATGTCATCATTAGTCAAGAACTTATTGTCTTCATTCCTGTTGTTTACCCTGAATGTTGTCATGAAGGCTGCTAATGCTCCCCAGCAGCAGTGCACTCTGGGAGAGGCTGAAATTGGTGTAAACATCCACTTCCTCTAGGCTGTTAGAAAGGCGTGTGACCTGGCCAATCAAGAGGCAGGAAAACATGAATCTTTATTACCCAGCTCCAACAATACTGTGCACAGATTTATTATATAATGTACCGTATATTTACTAATGATATTATATTGTGTTTGTAATGCTTTATAATCTGTGTTGTTCTGTGTTTGTCGTGCACTGCGTTGTAATCTGGTTTGTTAAGCTCCTAAAGCCCTGAAGCAAAGAGAAATGAGTGTAATGACCCTTCAACAAAGCCAACAATGCCTACCTGCTGCAGTAAAGTGCTGAGGTCAGAGGTCAAATGATTTAATTCATCTTCTGCTCTGGACAGTGTAAACGTGATGGAGCTGTTCTCGGCAAGCACCACCTGGACCAACACAGAGCAGGTAACCTTACCTTTTATGGTCAGGAAGCAACACACAAACATTCATGCAGTCATACAAAGATATAATTATTCTGAAACATCAGCAGGAGAAATGAAACAAATGAGTTCATCAGCAGACCCCCCCCACACACAGGTAGTGTGTTCGGGGTCAATAAATATCTGTAATATCAGTCTTTATGTGTGTTTTTACCTGGAGGGCTCTGGTCTGGTTCTCCAGCGCCACCAACTGGCAGTAAGGCACCATGTCAAGCTCACTCAGGTTGACATATAGGAAGTGGTTGTGCAGTCTGTCCAGACTGTGCAGCAAAACACCAGTGCACTCGTTGTTACACGCTGGAGTTAAGAACAAGTGAATACATCAGCTCTGAAAACATTTGAGCACATGTGTGTCAGTGTGTTCATTGTTGGTACTCACACACACACTCTCCTCCTCGCTGGATATGCCTCTCCTCACACTGGTCACATGACCGACCTCTGACCCCAGCCTTGCACTCACACTGTCCGGTCAGCGCGTTACACGGCAGGTGGAGGGAGCCCCACCCACTGCAGCTACATCGTGAACACACCCCACCCGACAATGAGGGGTTACCATAGTAACCAGAAGAACACCTGCAGGATGACAGCACACAGTCACCTGTTGTACACCTGATGGTGGTGATGTCCTCACTCTACATGAGTATGACATAAAGACTCACCTCTCACAGTATCTCCCCTCATATCCCGTTTGACAGGCGGTGCAGTGAAAATCACCAAACACTCCCTCTAACACACAGGTTGGGCTGAAGCTAGATGGCACAGGTAATGTCAGTAAAACAAAATAAAACAGAAGTCAGTGAATCTGTTCAGTGAATGACGTTCACCTGTTGTCCCGCAGCGGGCAGGCACACAGCAAACAGTCACTGATGGAGCCGCTCACGTTCCCATAATACCCCGAGGCACAGTGCTCGCAGCTCCGTCCACTGGTGTGATGCTGACAGTCCTGTACAAAAACAGAAACAAGTCAGTTTGCTGGTTTCTACTGACCTCCACCACAGGCAACGTCAGGCTCCTTTTACCGGGCCATATTTTTCTTCAAGTATGTATACCAGTATACCTGTTTCAATAGCACCTGAAAGTGAACAGAGGAGTGAAATAACATTTTAAAAATGTACCTTTGTTGCATTTGTGAGTTAATAAAAATGTAATTGTGTGAAGCGGGTACATAATATCATTTGATATTGATTGCAGGCCCCTGAATTGAACTGAAATCAAATGGTGGCATATTTTTATTTATCACAAACATGGGATCGCTGGCCGAGAGAACTGATGTAAGATCATATTGTAACGAAACTCCTGCTTTGCACTCCTGGGACTGACAGCAGGAGTTTTTCTTCCCCTCTGTCACCAAGTGTTTGCTCCAGGGGGATTTGTTGGGTTTTTCTCTTTGTAAAGTGCCCTTGGGATCATTTTTGTTGCGATTTGGTGCTAAACAAATAAAACTGAATTGAACTGAATTCTGACTTGACTGACCTCTGACATCTACTGACTTGTACTGAGTCTTTGACTTCTACTTATTTTTACTTACTTCTACTCCTTTCTGCTTTCTGCGTTATCTCAAGTCTCCAGTCTTCATTTAAAATGTGTCCTTTGGCAGGTTATCCTGTGCTAGCATGTGTTAGCATGTTACCTGGCAGTCACCAGTCTCTGTGTCGCAGCTGTCACTGTGGTTGTTGCAACGACACTGAACACACGGACGAACAAACATTGACTTCTGACTCTGCGACATCAACTCAGACCGAGGCTGACGGAAATAACCCACTGCACACTCCTGCAGACAGACAGGTCAGAGAGAGAGGCAGGTAAGAGAGGTTCAAACACTCTTTATTGATCCTGACCTGATGATCGATCAAATATTTCCTGGTCGATCATATTCTTCTCTTCATGTGAAGCTGTTTATAACTTGTGAAATGGTAAAACCAGTAAAACCAGCTGTTGCCATGGTGACACAGCAATTGGTGTGACCGTCATTACCTGGCAAGACAGACCCATGTATCCAGGTGGACAGACGCAGGACTCAATCAGTCTGGCTACGCCCCCTCTGATCTCTGACCCCTCCTGTGCCTCCACAGCTGTCTCCATGGTAATGTTGGTGATCCTTAACAAAACAACAAATCTTCTCACACTGACATTCAGATTCCAGGGGTAACACTGTATCTGGTTGAGCACACACTTCTAGACACAGTGCACTGCACACACACATATGTGTACTGCATCTGTGTATAAGTACCTGCTCTGCTGCAGTCTGGTCCCATTTGAAGCCTTGATGATGATGTACTGAACATTATTGAGGATGGACATGAAGTCGGCGTGACTCACTGCCTTCTCTGAGACTGAGTTGAAGTACTTCCAATTGTGCTGTAACACACACACAGACACACACAAACTGTTGCAGGTTTTCTACAGAGTGCCGTCATAGTGAGTCCTAAAGTTTAGAGCTGAGTCAGCATTTCTGCATGCCCAGCACCTGTGAAGATTATCTCGCTGAACAAAACCTGTGTTATAAACCGCTGTTTGTCAATAACACAAAAGTCTGTGGAAAAATCCCACTGGCTTTTTGTCAAGGGAACTGGGGTGACACTAACTTCAGGGTTGGCCTACAAAAACACACCATCTCTACGGCTCTGTATTTAAACATTCCTCTTTCTTTGGTTTCCCTTGATTCCTTGCTATGCACCTCTGTCATCCTGATGTCGTGCTGAGTCCTGACGCCAATGCTAGGGGCAACCATGTCAGTGTAGATCACAAGCTCCCTCAGAGACCCGCCCCTCATTAGCACCTGAGGCTCCTGATTGGACAGGCCCAAGCCATCCTCAGCGTAGAAGGTGATGATATAAGACAGCAGGCCACCGTACGACATCAGCTGTACAGTATACACACAATATACTACACAGTAAAGTACACACAATAGCACACAGTGATATTGTTTTTATCCGTAAGTCAACAAAACAGGCTAAACGCTATGCAAAGTTTTAAAACTACTCACTGTAAGTCAATGTGAAGGGCTTACTAACCTGTTTAAACAGTGTAAGATTAAAGCAAGGCAAGTCTATTTGTATAGCACATTTTCATACACAAAGGCATTTCAAAGTGCTGTCAACCAGCAGTTTGGGCTTAATGTAGCAGTGTCAGAGTGATCAGGTGCTCTTAAGTCACATTTTGGGTAATAGTACCTGGTTGCCTTCGAACTGGGATATGTTCAGCATAAAATAGCTAAAAATATATCGATATTGGCAAGGGTTAGATATATGCTGGACGTTAAAGCATTGCGCATTTTGTATTTGTATGGTGTAGTGGTGAATAATAAATCAGATTCCAGAAGAATTAGGTGATAGAACAGTATGTAGCTCATATAGACTTCATTTGGTATTAGCTTGTGAAAGGGAGAGCTGAGTGATTATGAGTTTATTAAGTTCATGTGAGGTGGACAATGGGCTTATGTAAGTGGTTATATAATTAATACTTAGAATCCTAGTTAAAGCCCAAGTATGGTCAGAGATGTTCCTTGGTGAGGGCCTTTGCCAGAACATTGGGAGTCAACCTTCCTGTCTTCCCGGAATGGAGTGAGAAGGGGGGCCCTGGTAGACGTCAAGACTGAAAAAGTCCAGCTGTGGTGAAGTAGCTAGTGGCTGAGCTGATAAAGAGGAGTGAGCCTGAGGGAGCCAGGGGAGCGAGGAGAAGGACCATGCTGCAGTAAACAGTAGACGAGGTACCTTTTAGGGACCCAGCCGGCTGGGGAGAAGACGACTGACTGGGGCTGACTGACTCAGGACTGATAACAAAGGACCTGACCTGACTGACTGGTGCTCCGACAATCTTTAGGCTTTATCTATTTCATTGCAGGAGGAGAGTCTCTGTTCTCTGTTCTCTGTTCCCTAACTACAAGAGTATCTGTTTAAATACTACTCTACTCAGAATAATTGTAATATTAAATGATCCTTTGAATTGTATTGGTTCGTCTGAATTAATTTAGTTGGTATCTCACTCTTGCCACGACACAGTATATAAATGTATTTATACCAACATGTACTCTGTTGTTTCACATGTAGATGGAAACAGGTGATTGGCTGTGGTGACCCCTAACGGGAACAGCCGAAAGAAGAAGAAGATTCTGTTGTTTCACATGTATACATACATACTGATTTAGTATGCATGTACTAGAAAAACTCACAGGTACTCTGGTGAGGCCTCCCTGCTCCTCACAGTCTTGACTGAGTCCTGAACAGAAACACTGCAAACAGCCATCTGGATTCTCGCCCGACAGACCAAACCAACCAGAAACACACTCCTCACAGTGCCGACCCGACACACCTGTCTGGGTGTACACACATATGAACACACTGAAAGTAAGATCAACACCTTTGTGTAATTTGTGACAGAGAAAATGTAGCTTCCTGTAGTTGCCACCAGTGGTCACTAAACACACACGTTACCTTGCACACACACTCTCCGCTGTCTTGACAGTGGCACACTCCCAGCGTTGTGTTACAGAATGTTTCATTTGTTCCTGCCACGTCACAGCCACATGCCAAACATGCTGGGTAACCATAGTAACCAGGTGCACACTGGTCACATGACTTGCCAAAGAATCCCTCTCTGCAGTGACACTGCCCATTGGTTAGATTACACTGAGGGGTGGAGCTTCCTGCTGCACTGCAGCTGCATGGCTGCAGAGAGAGCAGAAGGTTAGTAGGTCACACCTGTCACAGTCTATCAAATGAGCACCAAAACTGCACTGTGCAGCCTGATCGCTATCACGCCTCTTGCCCCACAGTGGTACAAACAGATTCCAATGGTGCCATGACAATAGAGCCCTGTATTTGGTTTGAATTGGGAAGCCAGGATTTCCCACTTCCCAGTTGTAAAATTCAACTGGAACACCCCCTGAAATCGGATTTTCGACTCAGAAAGTTGGACAAACTACAGTGTCTATAATGTGTTGTTTTAAACTGGTATTGCAAACAATGGCTAATAACAGCTAGCCTGGCTCAACTGGTATTATGGTTAAAAAGCCCATGGCATGTTGTTTCCATTTAATGTTTAATCTTGGGTGCCTCTAGCTTTGCATCATCATAACTCCAATAGTCTGTAATTATTTCAGAACAATGAAACCTGAGAGCCTTTTCCTAAAAACGAGAGGATGGTTTGTGAATGCGCACGACTCCTGATGCCAGTGAGAAGGCCCATGCACCACAGACAGTGCACGCTTCAGTACTCAGAAGTGCCACCTGTGCTTTAATGATGCTGCAATCTGAACAAACTGTGTTTTACCTATGTAGTACACCTGTGAGTAATCAGTTGTGCACAGCACACTGAGGACACAGATGGACCAAAAACTCTGGCACCTGCCCTGGAGCCACACTCCCGGCTGCTGGAAACTGAAGCAGTCAGCATTTGATATATTTTGTAGATTTCATTTAGCTTTTCAATGTATTTGATGACTAATCAATAAAATGTTCATTTTTTTAATAATTGGGGTGAGGAGGGCGGCTACATCTCCCGTGGCAATTATGCGCTTGTGTTTATACCTTTTGTACATGTATATGTACCTTGCAGCCTGTGGTTGGGTCACGACCCCAGTAACCTCTCTCACACCTGTCACAGGTGTCTCCGTCTGTATGGGCAGGGCAGATGCACTCTCCGCTCACTGGGTCACAGTTCCCACCAGTGTGATCACAGGTGCATGCTGGGAGAAGAACAGATCAAAGCCAGTCAGAGAAGAGGGTCCACCATTCAGCAACGAGACTGATCTTTACGTCTTCTGTTTATCTACCTGTGCAGCCATTGCCATGGAAACCATAGTAACCGTGACTACAGCAGTCACACTTGTGTCCAGTAATACCCTGCTCACACTGGCACTGTCCCTCCTCATCACATGACTGATTAACAGAGCCCGTCCGATTACAGCCACAGGCCTGGCAGCCCCGCCCACTCAGAAGCCCAAAAAATCCAGACTAAAAAATAAACAAACAAATAACATTTACATAATTTACACAGAAACAATAAGACAACAGAGCAAACCTCACCTGCTGAGGATCATGAAAGGACTGCATGAGGTCTTGTCTGGAATTTAACACATATTTATGTTACTGTGTGAGTGAGTGTGTCTCACTTGGCAGCGGTCACAGGTGCGCCCCATCACGTTTTCTCTGCATGAGCACTGACCCGTTGTGACATCACACAAACTGGAGAAGGCCCCACTAACATCACAGCCGCACTCTGAAAGAGAGGGAGAGAGAAAGAGACCTGCCCGTTGTCAGTCTGACACTAAAGCCCTGCCTGCTGTGATGAGGCCATGCCTACATGCTGCAAAGCATTGTCCTTCAGTTTTTAAAGAGTTAAAATGTTTCTGTTCATATTGTGCCTTTTAGAGAGTTCCCAGTCTTTGCTTATGCGTTTAAGGTGTAACTGAGCATTAATATCACTCAGAATATGAATAACTTTATAAATTTATAACACCATTTATAGTGAAAGTTAATGTGATTCATCAGATTATCAGGCAACTAGACATCAAAACATAAAATTAAAAATTATAAATATACTTATCGAACAAAAAGACACTTTAAAATCATTTTTTAGTGAAAAGTATCCTGAAATTAACATACATTTTGGTGCTCAGGCATATGAAACTGAGTCACAATTTGGACAAAAACAAATAAAAAGATGTAAAAATTTATTGACCTTTAATAATCTGTAGTGACCTTTAGTGACCTTACAGTGGCTTCTTGTTTATTTGATACTAAAGCTTTTTCTTAATGACTGATCAGTGAGTGATTGTCTGCCTGCAGTTCAGTGATTTCACCAGTAGATGTCAGGACATACAAACATACACAGTCATGTGACTGCAGAGCATGAAGGTCAGAGGCTGAATCTAATCTGGATTTGTAAAGACCAACATTACTGCTACCGTACACACCACCCTGAGTGTGTGTGTGTGCTCAGCCGTCTAAAAATGTTGTGTCTGTAAAAAGTGAAGGTTGTTGATAACACTGTCTCTACCAGCAGACTGACTTTTGTTCCTGAACCTGTTGAACCTTCACTAGAATCCAGTTAAATATTTCAGATGCAGCTCAAACCAACCAATCAGCTTCAAGTGCTGCAGCCAAACCTGAACCTTTAAAACACAAAGTCACAGAATCTAAACAAATATGGTGATTTATTTACAGTTGCATTATTTGAGGTGCAGCACCATGAGTGAGAACTGGGGCAGTCATCACCTGGCTCAGTCTGATGGGAGGGTCTACCACTGAGCCTCCGGGACCAAACCGAGGGAGAAACTCAGTCTAAGTATTATTCTCTCAAAGCAGGTGCATATGTCTCTTACCCCGACAGTCCTTGGCATTCACGGCATCTCCGTAGTAACCAGGCCGACAGACATCACAGTGCTTCCCAGTTGTGTTGCCAAGGCAACGCAGACACTCCCCAGTGATAGTGTCACAGTGTCCCGCCTCACTGATGTTCACGTTACCATTACATGCGCAGGGAACACAGGCCCCGCCCACCACCTGTGGGTTACCGTAGTAACCACTGGCACACCTGGAGAGAGAGACACACAGGTGTTACATCTGGTTCTCCTGTACACTGATTGGTCCATCAGCCTGTCAGTCATTCTCACCTCTCACAGTTGGTCCCAGCATATCCTTCCTGACACTGGTCACATGACACCTGACCAGGTGCCTCCAGCACACAGGTGAGGCTGAAGCTAAAATACACACAAATTTACACTCAGCCACTGTCAAGATTTCTGTAAAACAAAGTTTTTTTTGTTTAAAATCAGGGATGAAGAAACACACCTGTTGGATGGCTCTGTCAGAGGGCACGGACAGACCTGACAGTCATCTGTTGTCCCCTCGGTAGCATCGCCATAGAAACCAGGTAGACACTGTCCGCAGTTAGGACCTGTAGTGTTATGGGTACACCCCTGAGAGATGGACAGGTCAGACAGAGAAACAGGTCAGCTGACCATGGTAACAGATTTAGATGATTAACAGTATGAGTTATTCGATAAAGTGTAATCAACTGTAAGAAAACACCACAACACTAATAAAACACTGTAACACATGCAAAATTCTGTAACACTATAATAAAATACTGTAGCACTGAAAAGGAAACAAAACACAAACACTATAACACTGAAATAAAACACTGACTGTAATAAAGTAATGTAATACTGTAATAAAATGCAAGTGCTTTAATAAAATACTATAACAAACAGTAACCAGTGTGTCAGCTGTTTGTTTATCGCTCCTGCTGGTGCAATCCTAACACTTATGTTACTTTGACTGTTTTATTAAAACTCACCAAACAAACTCCGTTGATGTCGCACTCGGTGGCATGATCATTACACTCACACTGCACACAGTTTCCTCCAAATAAAACTCCTCCTACTCTGTAAAAACCTGGGAGACACACCTACAACACACATGATGTAGAAAAACTAATAAACATGCGCAAAAATGCATAGAAAAGTCATTTGATTGAGTTCAGTATCTGTAGCAATGGTACACACACAAAATTAACACCACTGACAGTATTAGCAGAACTAACGGTAGTAGCAATACTGACAGAACTGAAGTACCAGCCAATGATGTTAAGCTACAAAGCTCAAAGGGTTAAATGCAGTGGAGTGCTGACCTCACAGGAAGTGCCGCTGTAACCCCATGGACATTCACATGTTTCCACCGCAACTGCCTGAAGGCCAGAAACTGATCCAGGGTCAGCAACATCGAGAGATACTGAACTGAGACTGACAGATAAGCAGAGAAACAGACAAACAGGCATGTTCATTGGATTCATCAGTAGCATTCACTATGATTTCTATTCAGATTCCCCTGGAGAATCCTGAGGGGTTCCCATGTCTGATTCTGGGTCATTGACCCAGATCCAACAATGCCAGGTCTTCAATACCTCAGAAAGAACCTCATCCACACATGGTGTCACTGCAGAGCATTTTTAGCCCCAGCGGTCTCTGACAAAGCCTTCCAGGTCCACCTCATCTCTGTTTGAGGAAGCGCTGGTTCAAGAGTTTTTTTCCTGCTAACTGACTTTATGACATGTAATGAGATTGTTTCACATTAGATCCAATCAAAAAACATTCTCTACCGTATTGGCCCGTTGGTGGAGGTGTTCAGGTGTACTCTGACTGTCAGAGACGTCACACTAGCCAGGGCTGAGAGGAGGTCATCACGAGAAACCCGAACACCTGTCTGATCATCCACAAATCCGTGTGGGTTGATCGCCACGCCAACCAAAGTTTTGGTCAGCGGAGTGAGGAAGAGGAGGAAAGGAGGCGAGAGACGAAGAGCCCGGCCGTTACCCTGAAAACAAGACAGAATAAAAGTGGGGAGCAGTTTGGGTGTTGTCGTCTATAAAAACGATGTTTGTAGTTTTTAATCTGAAACTTTTTCTAAACCTCAATAATGATGTCAGAGTGGGCAGGGAGAGAGCGGTCTTTATTGTCCAATAGGATGTCATAAACCACCGAGTAGTTCAGATAACCTCCGTAAGACGCCAGCTAGCAACATAGAAAGGCAAAGGGACATATGAAAAATGAAAAGACAGACAGACAAGGAGGCAGGTTATTTCTTTAATGATTGATGGCATTATGAGCAAATATGGAAATGATAGCTGACCTTGTTGCCAAGGAAATTGATGGGCGCCACCCATGAGAGCAGTTGGTGGGTGTGGCCAGAGGGGGTGTTTCCAAGAATGGGGAGTTCGTTGCCATGGGTGATATAGAGGGACTGAGAGGGGCGGAGCCAAGAATCTGTATGAAACACCTGAGCAAAAATATCAGAAATGATCAAATATTATCATGTCTTATCTGAATACAGATGTGTATCTATAAAGCTCAGTGTGTGTTACCTCTGCAGAGGTGTGTTTATCTGTACACATGTGTTACCTGAGCTGTAAGCCAGGTGGAGCTCTCACAGACGTCAGACACACCAAAGCAAAAACAATCGGTGCAACCAAGTGGATTTTTCTCCTGCAGGTTGTAGAACCCTGGTTTACACAGATCACAGTGAGCCCCCATCACATTCACCTGAGGAGGAGAGAAGAAGAAATTAGGTGACATCAGCACACACAGGCAAGACTCAGGTTTGTCCTGTGATATTAAAGCCATTAATGCATGAAGCTGTAGGTAACCCCACCCCCTATGACATCACTGCTTACCTTGCAGGTGCAGGGGCTGCAGGGGTCGGAGTTGGTGCTGCCAGACAGGTTGCACTTACAGTGAACACACTGAGGAAAATCTCTGTATCCAAATGCACAACGATCACACTGTTGACCTGCAAAGCCCTTCCGACACACACACTGACCTGCAGACACACCTGGACACACAAACTTAGTGAGAGCCTCAGCACATCTTTACTGGCAATACACAGAGTAGATCAAGAACAACAACACTAACCTGGCTGTGTGCTGTGTCTGGCACAGACTGTCAACTTTGACCCTCTCAGGTCACAGTTACACTCGACACACGGAAAGTCTGAGTACGGAGAGACCTATACACACACACACACGCACACACACACACACACACACACACACAGAGGCACGCAAACATAAACACACAACACGCACAAAGTAAAATCAAGTATTTTTGGCTCTAAAACATGAACTGAGTTAATTTTGAATCTGAATTTCAGACTGAATTTGCAGTATTTGTGCGTACCTCAGCGGGTCTGTGGTATTATTTGCAGTATTTGTGCGTACCTCAGCGGGTCTGTGGTATTATTTGCAGTAATTGTATGTACCTCAGCAGGTCTGTGGTATTATTTGCAGTATTTGTGCGTACCTCAGCGGGTCTGTGGTGTTTGCAGTATTTGTGCGTAGCTCAGCGGGTCTGTGGTATTATTTGCAGTATTTGTGCATACTTCAGCAGGCCTGTAGTATTATTTGCAGTATTTGTGCGTACCTCAGTGGGTCTGTGGTATTATTTGCAGTATTTGTGTGTACCTCAGCGGGTCTGTAGTACCCATCTCTGCAGGTCTCACAATTGATGCCAGCTGTATTTTCTTGACAGTCGATACAAACTCCACCTCCCTGACGAACGCCGTGAGAGTTTAAACTCAGAAAGAGTTCGGAGACGGTTTGATTGTAGAAGCAGTCAACTGCTTTGCTGTGACAGTTACACTCTGAGTGGCAGACAGGCGAGAAGTAGACGGGTGTGTTGAAACAATGACAATAACAAAACACAGTCAGAAATGGAGTGAAAGGCCTGCCTACATTTCTGCCCATTCCATCTCTTACTTTCACAGGTGTTTCCCTTGGCGACTGTTCCTGGTTGCCATGGCTGCTGGTGGTAACCGGGGCAACATTCATTACAGTTCTCCCCACAGGTATTGTGTTCACACACACACTGCAGCTTCTGCATGCACACACAGGATAAAGTCCATGGAAACATTTGTATCACCAATCAGAACACTGTATAGGTGTGCAGATGTACTCGTTACCTTGGTGACAGGGTCAAGTGGGCAGCTCTGAGCGTGTCCATAACAGATGCACATCCCGCCCACAGAGATGTCCTTGATGGAATAATAATACTGAGACAAACAAATAAACAAGCTAAATCATTTTGTCCATCTACAACTATATCATTAAAAATTTCTTTCTCTCTGCGGGCCGTCTCACCCTCCGGGTAACAATGGGGTCGACCTCTCGGGGGTCACGGACACTAAGCGTCATCAGATCGGCATTCAGTGTTCTGATTCGCTGAAGTCTGAGTCTGATGTAACGAGCTGACGTAAAGTTTAGGAGGTCAGATGACAAATCTTCAGAACTGGGTCGGCCATTAATCAGAGAGGTGTGGATCTGAGAGACAGACAGGTAGATAAGAGAGACAGGTACATATCAGACAGGTGCAGAGAGAGACATATACAGGTTAGATAGACAGACAGACAGCCTTTCTCACCTCTCCGTGCTCCAGGGGGTTCAGTTTGGAGTAATATGATGTACAGATGACCTCGGTGTCGCTCTTGTAGGTCGGAGCACCAAGTCTTGGTGTGATATTGTAACGAGTCAAACACTCAGAGTCACTGATGGCATAAAACTGCCAGGGGTCAAAGGTCACACCATCCAGCGATCGCTCCAAAACCCAGTTACCTGAGAGACAGACAGTTCAGTCAGATTGTTTGAAACAATTAAAGTGTACATGTGGGATGCAATTCGTCAGCCTGGTCTCACCTGGTCGAGGAGCGTTAGCTGCCTTGATGATCACATAGGCGACCTGAAAAATCTGGATAGACAGAAATACTCATTACATATAAATCTCCTGGTTACTGTAAACATCTTTGTCTGTGCCACAGTCAGTGGGGGGGCTATCTAGATATTTTGGTTCTTCTACCCCTACATGTATTGTGGATTAGAAAAGCTGGATTCAGTCATGCAAGATCAGCGCACGTTGTTGTGGTCAGTGACTAGACCATGTGTCAACAGCTGAAACCACGATCAGCTGGTTGCTGGTCAGCTATAGACAGATGTCTAAAGTGAGAGCGCAGTCTGTCAGAATGAGAGAAAACATCTTCTGGAGGCCAAGAGGCGGTTAAAGAGTTAATTCATAAGTAAGGTACCTCTGCAATGGTGGTGACAAAGTGGTGAGATGGAGGAAAACAGTAAATGGTCTTATACTTGTATAGCGCCTTTCTATGCTTTACAGCACACTCAAAGCACTTTCACACTATTTGGCCATTCACACTCCCAAACGCTCACATATTCACACAACTGGGAGTTCAGTTGCTCAAGGACACTTCAACATGTTGACTGGACAAGCCAGGAATCGAATTGCTAATCCTCCGGTTAGGGAACAACCCGCTCTACCTCCTGAACCACAGCCACCCCCAACAGTGGCTGACAAATGAATGTATCCCATTTAAATCCTTAACATGGCCACGACTGCTTGTCCACTGCTCTGATATGGCGGTGCATGTGTAATCTGTGCATTATCTTCAGTGAGAACCTGGGAAAGATCAGATCAATGAATTCCCTTTGCTTTTACAGCACACAGGAAGAAGGCAGACTATGAACACTGAGGAACTGTTTCAGAGCCACGTACACTTTCAGAACAGCTCGACAAACAGCGCTCTTTCCTAACATCACCAAACATATATAAGAAGGCGCAGCTTGTGAGGAGACTCAAGTCAGTGCACACCGAGTGGCGGTCAGAGCACGGCCCCTCTTTGGCTGGCCCCTAATATGAGGCACTAACAGTCCACTTCAGTGCTTCCCTCCTGACTGACACGGTACCATCTGATGAACAACAGGCTGGGATGGGTCACAGGGCCCCATCGATCTCCCACTGATCTCTCTGTTTTCTTTAAATGTGTCTTATGATAATCGCTCCAATGTCAGTGAGTCGCTTCCTGCTCCGAGCCCCTTTAAATGTGAGGGGTTTGAGATTATGGACGTGTTGCCGTGGCAACAAGATTTTTGAAGTACCAACAGATCTGGCATCATGTGAAATAGTGAGCTAACATGTTAATCCATGAGGGAAGAACAGTCCTCTGCCTGAGATGCAGCAGGCGTCTCCTCTGGTGCCTTACCTGGACACCTGGCGGGAGCATGTTACCTGTTTTAGGTCCAGTGTGATGGTGATCCAATGAAACTGTTGTCCATTCTTGATGCTTGGACTCTGCCACCACTGATTCGTCCCATCAATGGCATTTGTGATTGGATGGCGTTCTGAAGCAGACACACACTTGAATGTATTAAAGATAATTAATATCTTAAAATAAGTACTGTGACTAGGGATGTACAAATATTTGTAATTTTGCAATATCACAATATAAAAATTTGCTGGCACTGTGAAGGTGTCTACCTGGATATTATGGTTATTTCACTAGTGCAACTGCGTTGAGATCACAATACTGAAAACTGACAAAGCAGATACTCCATCATCAACTCACGGGCTGATGTGTGGTAGCAGCCAAAGCTTGTGATGACCACGCACTACGTTCTGAGCATTACGTACTTCAGTCACAAGACATTTTTCCATTATAGGAACCAAGGGAAACGCGTTGTGCCGAGTAGTGCTCATCACGGGCCTTGCGCTCGTCTCCACTACGGTTCACCCGCATTGGAGATGCATTCTGGGAGCTAAATGTCAGCACCCCTTAGGAGGTAGGACTAAAATCAAGTACCAGGAATGTGGGGGGGCAGTGCGTGTGCGCAGAGCAGTCGACCATGATTGGTTAAATGTCTGCATCTTCGCATCACAAGCACCGTATGTAAACACACAGCTGACCGCATGCATGAGAGAGGAGCGGCCCCCATCCTCCTCCAATCAGAGACCCACAGGGAGGAAATATGGTGGGCGGTTGATGTCAGCGCTCAGGCTATGCCTAGTGATAGTCTTCTGACACCTGAGGCTCCAACACAAGCACAGTAGCTCATGAAGCAATTGTATTGAACCACTGTGCCGAGGCGTTTTTTGGTCATGTGAATAGTGACGTTCGAAGCACTTGAGTGACGTTGAAAGCAGTTGAGTGCCTCGGACATCATACAAATCAACTGATTGGTTCGGTTTGTCAAGTAAATCACTTTGGATTGAGTGTGTTCAGGGATATCCCTATTTAGTGGCATTCATTTGAATCTGTCTTTGCAGAGCAGGTTGGTTTGTTGCTGTTGTTGCTGTTAGTTTCTTTGAGAATTAGTAGTGTTGTAGCAGATTGTGTATTTCATGGAGAATCACTGTAGATAGAGAGATAGATCAATAGATAGCTAGATAGTAAGTTACATAGAGAAATAGATAAAATTAGTTACATAGTTAGATAATGCTAGATTTAGTTACATTGATAGTCCTAAATAACGTTAGATATAGATAAGATATATATAGATATAGATATATTGCATATATAGTTTCCCAAACCTATATGAATTATCCAAGCATTTCCTGGAGAGAGAGAGAGACAGAGAGAGAGAGAATAGATTAATGCTACTATACAAAAAGCCCTTATGAATAGAAATTCTATCAACGACCGTGCCATCGCCCGGCATGGCGCAGCCGGGCCCCCACCCTGGAGCCAGGCCCCCAATCTGAACACGAGAGGTGTTTTGTTATTGGACTTCTGTGCTAGTCACAGTTTGTCCATAATGAACACCATGTTCAAGCATAAGGGTGTCCATCAACGCATGTAGCACCAGGACACACTAGGCCGGAGGTCAATGATCGACTTTGTGGTTGTTTCATCTGACCTCCTGCCGTATGTTTTAGACACTCGAGTGAAGAGAGGGGCGCAGCTGTCATCTGATCACCACCTGGTGTTGAGCTGGATCCGATGGTGGGGGAGGAAGCTGGACAGGCTCGGCAGACCCAAACGTATTGTGAGGGTCTGTTGGGAACGTTTAGCAGAATTCCCTGTCAGAGAGATCTTCAACTTCCACCTCCAGCAGAGCTTTGACCAGATCCCGGGGGAGGTTGGAGACATTGAGTCCAAGTGGACCATGTTCTCCGCCTCCATTGTCAATGCAGCCGTTTGGAGCTGTGGCCGTAAGGTCTCTGGTGCCTGTCACGGCGGCAATCCCTGAATCCGGTGGTGGACACCGGAAGTAAGGGATGCCGTCAAGCTGAAGAAGGAGTCCTTTTGAGCCTGGTTGGCTTGTGGGACACCTGAGGCAGCTGACAGGTACCAGCAGGCCAAGCGGACTGCAGCCCGGGTGGTTGTGGAGGCAAAAACTCGGGTCTGGGAAGAGTTCAGTGAGGCCATAGAGAGGGACTATCGATCAGCCATGAAGAAATTCTGGCAAACCGTCCGGCGCCTCAGGAGGGGGAAGCAGTGACCTGCCAAAACTGTTTACAGTAGAGGTGGGCAGCTGTTGACCTCAACTGGGGACATCGTCAGATGGTGGAAAGAATACTTTGAGGATTTCCTCAACCCAAGCAAGATGGACACCTGGAACTTCCGTGGCCGATTACCAAGACTACGTGAAATGCCTTCTGAAAGTCTACTAGAGGATGGGAATGCAGCACTAAGAACAATCCCTACTATGACCATCACTGAAACCAACAAGCTGATATACACCATAGCAACCGTGGTCCTTGACCATAAGGAGCAGTATCCTCCATGGAGAAGGAGGTTGGAGACCAAGATCAAGGCAGCAAGGAGAGAAGTTAGCCAGCTATCGGAATTGCAGAAAGGCGTGATGAACAAAGGGGTACCTAAGTACAACTCACTGTCCATACCTGAGGCCTTGGAGACTGCCAAGCAAAGGCTCGCAGCTCTGGCCACCTGGCTGAAGAGGTACAACAGAGAAGTTGAAGCCAGGAGAATAAACCAAATGTTCTCCACTGAGCCATCTAAAGTGTATTCTAAGTGGCAGGGTAATAACATGAGAGCAGACCCACCAAGGCTGGAGACTGAACAGTTCTGGAAGAGCATACCTGGCTGGAAGAAAATTACTCGTCAATAAGTCATAAATTAATGTTTATATGTGGTGACTTTAATATAGATTTGTTGAATCCTAACAAGCACACAGCAACTGAGGAGTTTATTAACACATTATATAGATGTAGTTTATACCCAAAAATTACAAAACCAAGTAGATTAACAACCCAGCATGCAACACTAATAG